ACCCAACACAGCCAATTAAAACACAGGTGTCAGGCGAATGAAACGTTACAAATATATGATTGCTTCAGCACTGCACCGGTGTTATTTTTGGAGAGGAATCTTACAGAATTTTCAATGGTTACCAACGATTACCATCGCTGGAGATTACCATCCAGCATCCTCAGGTTGACATGAGCTCAGACCTCGAGACCATGAATTACGAATCACAGAAAAAAAACACGACGCCCCAACTACTTTACAATGGACGTGAATTATACCGTGACATCGATCGGAAGAGTGGGCAGGCTATTATGTGAGTTGGTGTCGTGGTCCAAATGATGCCAAATTTGAAAAAAATATCTGCAAAATATTCAACCGGAATTGTACATAGCAACCATCACCCCCTTCTACCTAAACTTGGCAAGACCCTCCTGAACAAGAGTCATGGTACTAGTATCACGGTCAATAATACTTAAAGTACTATGAAGAAGGGCAATTTTATAATAGTACTCCCTGGTTATTCACGAACTTGTCGCCCACGGTTTTGGCTATCTGCGAATCGCATCGGGAACTCTACACGACTGCATCGAGAGAGAGAGAGAGAAGGAAAGTGTTGAGATAAAGTGATAAGATACTTTAATATGTATTTAGAATATTTAACATTAAATTTGTATTCACCATGTTTTTTTAATTACATTTTTTATGTATTTAATAGCTAATGTACAGTGAGGGAAAAAAGTATTTGATCCCCTGCTGATTTTGTACGTTTTGCCCACTGACAAAGAAATGATCAGTCTATAATTTTAATGGTAGGTTAATTTGAACAGTGAGAGACAGAATAGCAACAAAATTCCGGAAAAACGCATGTCAAAAATTGTATAAATTGATTTGCATTTAATGAGGGAAATAAGTATTTAACCCCCTCTCAATCAGAAAGATTTCTGTGGACAGGTGTCTTTTATACAGGTAACGAGCTGAGATTAGGAGCACACTCTTAAAGGGAGTGCTCCTAATCTCAGCTTGTTACCTGTATAAAAGACACCTGTCAACAGAAGCAATCAATCAATCAGATTCCAAACTCTCCACCATGGCCAAGACCAAGGAGCTCTCCAAGGATGTCATGGACAAGATTGTAGACCTACACAAGGCTGAAATGGGCTACAAGACCATTGCCAAGCAGTTTGGTGAGAAGGTGACAACAGTTGGTGCGATTCTTCGCAAATGGAAGAAACACAAAAGAACTGTCAATCTCCCTCGGCCTTGGGCTCCATGCAAGATCTCACCTCGTGGAGTTGCAATGATCATGAGAATGGTGAGGAATCAGCCCAGAACTACACGGGACGATCTTGGCAATGATCTCAAGGCAGCTGGGACCATAGTCACCAAGGAAACAATTGGTAACACACTACGCCGTGAAGGACTGAAATCCTGCAGCGTCCGCAAGGTCCCCCTGCTCAAGAAAGCACATATACATGTCCGTCTGAAGTTTGCCAATGAACATCTGAATGATTCAGAGGACAACTGGGTGAAAGTGTTGTGGTCAGATGACACCAAAATGGAGCTCTATGGCATCAACTCAACTCGCCGTGTTTGGAGGAGGAGGAATTCTGCCTATGACCCCAAGAACACCATCCCCACCGTCAAACATGGAGGTGGAAACATTATGCTTTGGGGTTGTTTTGCTGCTAATGGGACAGGACAACTTCACCGCATCAAAGGGACGATGGACGGGGCCATGTACCGTCAAATCTTGCGTGAGAACCTCCTTCCATCAGCCAGGGCATTGAAAATGGGTCGTGGATGTGTAATCCAGCATGACAATTACCAAAAGCACACGGCCAAGGCAGCAAAGGAGTGGCTCAAGAAGAAGCACATTAAGGTCCTGGAGTTGCCTTGCCAGTCTCCAGACCTTAATCCCATAGAAAATCTGTGGAGGGAGCTAAAGGTTCGAGTTGCCAAACGTCAGCCTTGAAACCTGAATGACTTGGAGAAGATCTGCAAAGAGGAGTGGGACAAAATCCCTCCTGAGATGTGTGCAAACCTGGTGGCCAACTACAAGAAACGGCTGACCTCTGTGATTGCCAACAAGGGTTTTGCCAACAAGTACTAAGTCATGTTTTTCAGAGGGGTCAAATACTTATTTCCCTCATTAAAATGCAAATCAATTTTTAACATTTTTGACATGCGTTTTTCTGGATTTTTTTTGTTGTTGTCTTTCACTGTTCAAATAAACCTACCATTAAAATTATAGACTTATCATTTTTTTGTCAGTGGGCAAACGTACAAAATCAGCAGGGGATGAAATACTTTTTTCCCTCACTGTATGTATATAAAGTACTTCATTAAAATGGGCAATATCATTATCCGCGAAATGTACTATTCAGGAGCATCTTCGGAACATATCCCTCGCGAATAACGAGGGAGTCCTGAAAATGCATACACGTGTTGTTACCTTTCAGGGTAGTGCCACTAACGATTAATGCATGCAGCTCCCAATTCACTGGCTTATATCACAGAAACGATGTTGGGAGTATGAAGATGCGGAGTCCTGAAACACCTGAAGGACACATACGCGGTGTATATACAGCAGAATTATCCCAAAGCAACGGATAATCTCTGTGAGCTTGAAAAAAAGCATTGCATACAAGCTAATAAAACGTGCCATGCAATACAAGCTAAGGTGGCAATATTTAACAGCGATCACAGCACGGGAAACATACGTAGGCAAAAAACAACTGCGTAATATTGCAACTGGTGCACAAGGACAAACACGTATTTATCCGTGTGCACCACTCCAACTGCGTGTAACACTTTCTCACGACAGAAAAAAAATGTTCATTACTTATATTTTGTCATCTCGACTGGAATTAACCAATCTAATCTAAAGGGTCCCCCCCCCCCCCAAATATATTCTGATGAGGTTCCTCCCCCCCACCCCCCCGAGCGAGCTAGGACCACCTCTTCTGCGATTGGATGTGTGGGGTTACTACATCTCACTGCAGACAATGGGTAAACTTACAGAGGTAAAACGTAAAGGCGCAGCCCGGCTCTCACTTCCTCACGTCACTGCTGCTGGAAGGTCCTCCACTAGAGGCAGCTGTAGACAGCCCGTCTGGAGACTGGTTTGGCCTCTCCACGCACACACAGCCACACTGATCTGACGATGAGTTGGAGTTGTCCACACTTTACCCCCCAACCACACCCGTCGATCGACTCGAACAGGGGTGTACACATTTCAGCCGCGGCGGGAGATCGTGCTATCGATCCCCTGGACTGCGACTTCACTGCGACGCCCATTATTGCACCGCGGCATCCTCTCCGCCTGCAAGAGGAGCCGTGTGCGATCAGAGCAGTTCCGAGCGATGCACGCCCGCGGACAGACGCGGGAGGTAAAGAACAAGGGGGAGCCTCGCCGTGGTCTGCAGCGCCACCCATTGCCGTTTTGTCGGGATACGCGCGCAGGTGACCGCGAAAACCCAGCGCCGCGCGTTCAGCTCACCGGGTGCTGGAATCACAGATATCCTGCCGTAATTCCAATACGTCTCTCGCTATGATGGCCCTCAAATCAGTTTCGTCGCCTATCGGGACGATCTCCCCCGGGGAGCTGCTGCGAGCGTGCGCCCGTTAGCCCCAATTGCGCAACACGCTGGGAAACAACGCATACACAACAATACACAACTCACGCACACAATACACAACAACATACACAGCAATACTCAACAACACACACACACCAACATACAGCAATACACAACAACAACAACACGCAACAACACACACACCAATGCACAACAACCCACACAATACACAACAACCCCCACAAAAAACACAACAACCCACACAAACACACACAATAACACAAAACAACACACAACAACAATACACAATAACACACGCGCGCGTGTCTACGGTGCAGCCGATAAACTCCCAGCAATTCAATTTGGGGAGGCTGATTTTGTTTTGTGTGGTGTAGTATTATTATTTTGCGCGTGAGGATGAAGAGAACGAGACGAGCGACACACACATTGAGATCAGGGCGATGTCTCCGTTGATTATTAGGATGACCTTCGAGGTTAATTTTCAATCTCATTAGCAATGGACTTATAAATGTCAGTGCCCGGCATAGCATTTGTCGTTTCACACGGAGCGAGACGGTGGTGGTGGTGGTGCAAACGTGAAACCGCCAGCCTTTATGATCCGCTGATTGTTGTTATTGTTGCCAAGTTTGGTGATTAATAAACGTTGGCACGTGTGTTCATTGATCTCCGAGAAATAATTCCCGAGTTTTGTTATTTGCTTTTTTAAAAATCTGCTTTAAAACACCGTGCCACGGTAGTATGAATCGAACACAACACGAAGGCTACTCTCACGGACATTAGCAATGACATCAAGCTTTTGAACCGCACATCATTGCGAATACGTGCTGATCCACAGCCGCACAGAGTAACTCGCATCAAATGCAAAGCATTTGCATGCCCGTTTAATGCGCCGCTGTTGCTGCTAGAGAAGATCTGATAATATGTCTACGTGCTGATCAAAGTAGTGCCTATTCTAAACATGGCGTGCTACAGACGAGGGTCAATTAATATTCTATAAACTAATTCTATGCAAGCCACCAACTTTTGTAACGAACATTTAAATAGCGTCCATATGCATAACAGTATTCGTTCTGTGCGAATGTACATAGTACTCATAATCGATATTACATATATATTCATGCTACAAAAGTAATCGCGTTTTTTAGTCAAGTTAACTACTACAAAACTAGCACTCAAATCATGGACAGCAGTTCGCGCGTGTGTATTCCATCACGTGTCTTGCTGGAATGGTGTTTGTGTGGAGTCTTCACAAAGCACAAGCACACACTCCTTGCGCGGACAGCCACACACTCGCATAGCTACACACTCACACATAGCTCCACACACCCACAGAGCCACACACTCACATAGCTACACACTCACACATAGCTCCACACACACACATAGCCAGACAGCCGCACAGCCCCGTGCAGCGCACGCTCGGGCATTCAGAGCGCATCCGCGCCGGACAGGGCGTGGGGGAGGAGGGAGCCGTGGTGGCAGCAGCAGCAGCAGCAGGAGGAGGTGTTGCCATGGCGACGGCTGGAGGAAATGGATCAGCAGTCGCATCAGGTCCGCGTCGCTGCTGATGCCACAGCGAAGGGAGGCGAGGCTCGTGCTGGGGTTAGCGCCGCGCTAGGAGGACGCGGAGGAGGAACCGGGACCGCGGCGGGTGGGGGAAGGCGCAGACGACGGAGGGAAAGGAACAGCGGAAAGAAGCGGCGGCGAGGGGAGGGTATCGCCAGAGGAGGGGAGATAGCGGAGCAGCGGAGGAAGGCTGGCGCGAGGTTTTTGTGCTGGATAGACGAACACGGGCAACGACGAGGGGGAGACGCGTTGAGAAAGAGAGAGAGCCAGACAAGACCGACGGACGGTAAAGGCGGACACGGGACCTCGTATCGCATCTGGTGTGGGAGTGCTCGCTCGCTGCGGGGATCTGCTCGGAGGCTGCCGGCTGTTGCAACCCGGGCGCTCTCTCGCAGTCACGCGTCCTCACCTCCCCACATTCAATCCACCTCTGAGAGTATCCAACCCCCACCATAATTACCTATACTGCCCCCCCCCCACCCCACCCACCCACTAACCCCCCCCCCCATCACTCACCTGTACGACTCATCCCCGACCATATTCCTGATTAACCAGCCACATACTTCTCAACCCACCGAAGGGCCATAGCTTCCCCCCGAACTTGACACCCCGGACTCCAACAGCCCAGTCCCCCTCTGACCCCCCACACGGTTCCCTTTTCATCCCCTCCCACCACCAACATCACCCCGCGCCCCCCTCCCTCCCTCCTCTCGTCCCCCTCTTTCTCTCTCCGCCTTCCGAGCCCGTTCCAAGGCGGAGGTGGTGGGATTGTGGATTTGTGTTTGCGGGAGCCCACGGGGTAAGCGCTGGGAGCTGGCGGCTGGGGGGAGACCGAGAACATTTATTTGATTTTATTTATTTTATTTCTGTGTGTGCGTGTCGGGCTGGGAGGCTGGGAGGGGGTGGTGGTGGTGGTGGTTCTAAGCCTCCGGAGCGACGAGAACAGCCCTGGCGGAGGCGTCTCAACGGCAGCGGGGACCGAGGAACTCAAAGACGGACGGCACGGAAGAGACGTTACAGCAGCAGCGACAAGATTAACAATAACAGCAGTGATATTAGTAGCAGCAGCAGCAGCAAATATTACGGAGAGCAAGCGGACGGCAAGCTGACAGAAGCTCAGAGCGCGGAGCTCCGAGTGAATTACCCCTCTCTACGGTCCCACACGCACGCAACGGCTCCACTGGACGAGGATTGAAGCCGAGCAAAGAGCCACCGCTGCTGCTCTTCGTTACAGGCGCACACGCGCCGTGCGGTGGTCCACCCGATGCTGAGTGGATCGTCGGCATGAACATGAGACGCATGGGGACGCGACGAGACCCGAACGGGACCCTGGCTCCCTCCCTATGGATTCTGATTCTCGTTTCGTGCGGCTGCATCGGGGTGGCCCTGGCCGCTTTCCCCAACAACGTTCAAATAGGTCAGTGCTGTGCATCTGTCATTGCGTGTGCCCGTATGCATGTATGCATTTGTGTATGTTATAGTGTGTGGTGCATGGCGTCTACGGGTCGCGCGCTCACACACAGCCACACGCCTCGTGCCTCTCACACACAGCCACACAGCCCGTTCCACGCACACACAGCCACACACTACGTGCCTCTCACACATAACCACACACCCCGTTCCACTCACACATAGCCACACATCCCGTTCCACTCACACATAGTCTCACACCCCGTTACACTCACACATAGCCACACACCCCGTTCCACTCACACACAGCCACACACCCAGTTCCACTCACACATAGTCTCACACCCCGTTACACTCACACATAGCCACACACCCCGTTCCACTCATACACAGCCACACACCCCGTTCCACTCATACACAGCCACACACCCCGTTCCACTCACACATAGTCTCACACCCCGTAACACTCACATATAGCCACACACCCCGTTCCACTCATACACAGCCACACACCCCGTTCCACTCATACACAGCCACACACCCCGTTCCACTCACACAGCCACACATCCCGTTCCACTCACACACAGTCACACATCCCGTTCCACTCACACACAGCCACATATCCCGTTCCACTCACACATAGCCACACTCCCCGTTCCACTCACATATAGCCACACATCCCGTTCCACTCACACATAGCCACACACCCCGTTCCACTCACACATAGCCACACACCCCGTTGCACTCACATACAGCCACACACCCCGTTCCACTCACACACAGCCACAGACCCCGTGTCGCTCACACACAACCGCACGGAACGTCTAATTGAGTATCTGCTGCGATGCGTAAAAACATCGTCACTAGGGAGGCCAAGGCGTGGTTCTAAACACCCACTCCCGAGTGTGCCGTGTCTGCCTTGATAGGTGCTCGCTAACAGCACTTTTATTTGAATAATATTCAAAAGTATGGTTTCGGGCTATAGGCTGATCTGGGTGTCTCTGTACATGTGTTCTAGAACCAACCTCCCCCCAACAGCGCATGTGTGCCATGTGGCAGTACACGAACGTTCGCGTGTCAAAGTACTAGCTTTGCATTGTGCGAATCATGCTTGTGCCAGTACTGTAGGGTCTCATCCATAGCCGTGTGTGTGCATCCCTTTGTTTCGGAATAAGTCTCAATGTCCCAGCAGACGCGCGCCCTCCCTCCCCTCTACCCCGTCACAGGCTGCACTGCAAACCGCATTGCACTCTTATGGTATATATTAAAAATAACCACCGTGGATAATGAATGCACACGGGATGATGCGTATTAATAACACACGCGTGCGTGGAGAGCCATGTGCATGACAATGGAGGTGGTGGGTCATTGTGAGCTCACTTTCTCGCCGTCTTTTATTGAAAAATAGTGACGTACGCGAGACATCGTTGTCGTGTGGGATGCGTGCACTCACGGGAACGCGAATGCACTGGGATTAGCACCCATGGCCCGTGCAGAATACGCGCTTGTGATATTCTTCTACAAAACGTGGCCACCGTCTCTCAATCTCTCCTGCTATTCATGAGCGATACGTCTTCATTGTCTTTCTTACACTACCTAAAAGTATCCATATATCCCGCGTCTACAAACCATCGTTTACATTACCCCTGCCGTTATGTCTGCAAACATGCGTCTCCTTTCCGTGTGTGGCTGCGTGTGTTTATTTGTTTTGCATGGCTTGGGATATATTATGATACGCAGAGTGCATATACTCAGAGCCGGACAGAAACACGAAGACAAACATAATTCGATTGCAAAACTTTAACGGCCAGGCTCTTGGCTACATCAGAGTGACGCCCAAATGTTGATAATTTCCCCACGCCTGGTTTGTACATCATCACTGCTTAGCTCTAATACACACGACTCATTACATTATTGCTCTGCGCGCTGTTCCGAGCGTGGCTCTAAACATACACACACATCGCAGGCTCGGCCATCCGCGGCCCACTGTGATCTACAAAGAGTGCCCACAAATTACGGATTAATCACCTATTTTCACATCAATCCTTCCCACGTCAGAGTCTTCAGGCAATTGCTTTTTTTTAACCACATGCGTGTCATTATGCGCGGGCGTACGCGTAGATTCTTCACCGTACAATTCATTGACAATGGTTGTTCGGATGGCCATCCATCAATTTCCACGGACAAACCCCTTCCACTCTTATGATCTCCTGCAATCCTTTACGCGATCAGCGTGACGAATGCACGCACCGAATGCGTACAATGGACACACACGCCCACACACACACATTCGCACAACCCAGAAATACCGATATTGATCACGTACGATCCCGTTGTTTTACGTTTCAATTTTCTTAATCGGTTTACCTTGCAACATTCCCGAGCATATTGGCCGTGATAAGCGTGTCCACACACGTTAGGGCTCGGGAGAGATGGATAATTAATAATATGCTACTAAGCGGGATCACAGCCCACCCTGGCGCTCTGCTGTATATCATTATCATTATCAATCAGCCACGTCCCAATGCATAGCCAAGCAGATTTGCGCTCGCCGTAGGTCAATGCTGTACGCAGCAGCAGCGGGCTTAGCAGGAAACCAAGAGGACGGGTTGCTGAACGCAGAAGCAGCACCAGCAGCACACACCGTGGGATGCAAAAGATGCGATATTTAGGCGGACGTGTGTGTTTTTGCAATACCAAATTGCGACGCTGATTTTTTTTTTATTTTACTTTCTACGCATGACCGGCAGTCTTCGGCGTGCCTATTTAAGCTCAAACGCTCTCCCTAAAAGAGCGGTGGGCGCAATAACCCCCATGGCTTGCATTGAGGGGAATTGCAACGGATGAGCCACCCTTCACGGCGTCTGTATCGTCACTTGTCTCTCGTCATTAAAAATGGCAATGACCTGTCATGCTAATGATGTTGCGCCAAATTCTGATTTCAAAATTCAGTGGGTTATTAAACCGGCCGGTTGTTGAGTATTTTTTTTGCCAAATGTGGACACGGTTGAAATTGTCTCGGATTTAGTTGGTTGCAACCGTGATAAATTCAGTCCAATAATTACAATACTCTGGGTTTGCCAGGATTGGTTTTAATTCACACAAAATGCATATGTGTGTATCGGCAAATTATAAGTCCTTATATACAATCGCGTTTGGTCGTCAATTTGTGTCGTGTCAAGCCTTTTAAAGATATACTGTATAGATTTGATGTCACGCACATATGTTTTATGCATTAATATACACACGCAGACACTGTTGTTTGCTTTGCAATCGTCTGCTGATCCATCGCACAGACAGTTTGAGTATGAGCACTGCAATGCCGATGTCGTATATCTGGCCGAGCCGCTGATATGTTCTTGCCAGTGACACACAGACATCATGATATTGTTTTTATTCAATTGTTAATATTTGGCTTAACCTATACGCCATAGATCGCACTGAGATATTGATTGCAATATTTCCTTTGAAAGTATATTTGTGGGTTTACAGCTCCGCCCGTCTCATTGAAACAAAATCGTTAATGCATAATTCATTGTGAATAACGCGCATCTGTCTCTTGAGTCGGTGTGTTTGTGTGTTCATGAATTCACTGTGTGTCTTTGTACTTGCGGCTTTGTGAGCATGTGTATACATGCATGTATGGGTTCTTGTCTTTTTTGGGGAGCGGCAGTGTAGCTGTTAGTGCTACAAACTCGGCGACCCGAGTTCGATTCCCGCTCACAGCAAACATCAATGACGTTTATCTGAACCAGTCCTGGACCTCCCCTAGGTCGACTCAGCCTTAAATGAGTACTATGGAAACATCAGCACAGGGAACATAAAGGTGGCCGGGAGAGGTGCTAGCTACCCCCAGCCTCGTGTGCTGTGTTGACCTTCATATAGGTGCTTGCAAACAGCACTTAACCCAGGAGTCTGTTTAAGGCTATACGTGGTATATTGGCCTTTGTACTCGTGTGCATTGGTGTTGTGTGTTGTGTCTGCACGTGTGCACGTGTATATATGTGGGGTACTGGCCTTTGTTTGCATTCGTGCGTGTGCGTATGCTGGTTTGTTTGTGCAAGTCTGTGCTAGTCTGTTTATGATGTGTGTGTGTGTGCATGTGTCTGTTGTGTATCTGCTAGTGTGGTACGTTTATGCGTACCCTGCTTGAGTTACATACGTGTTTACTGCTGCTGCCTCCGTGTGTATTGACGCATCTGCGCGTGTGTCTGCATGTGTCCGTGCGTGCGTAAATGCGTTACTCATTCTCCACTTCTCCACGCCGCTGCTGCCCTCGTGGTTCTTCCTTGGCCCCTGGCTCCTCTTCCTTGGCCCCTGGCTCCTCTTCCTTGGCCCCTGCCTGGTTCCTCTTCATCGTCTCCGTCTGGCCGCGTGACGCGCGCCCCGGGCTCGCAGGAGGTCTCTTCACGCGCCAGGCTGACCAGGAGAACAGCGCATTCCGATTCGCAATCGTCCTCCACGACACCGCCAACGCCAACTTCAGACTCATCCCGCACGTGGAAACTTTGGAGACGGCCAACAGCTTCGCCGTCACCAACGCATGTAAGAGCCCCCCCCCCCCCCAAACCGGGGGAGGGGTGGGAGAGCGGGCGGGTGTCTTTATTGCACTCTCACCATTGCCATGTTTCATTTTGCTCTTATTGTCGATTAATCTTGTGTCTTGGGGACCGGTCACCTGTCATCCCTCGGCTGTGCACCGACGGCACATCGAGTAGCCTAGGCCCAAATGTGCTGGCCAATTTGTCCCGAAAATCTAGATGCATTCGTATGCGTGGTCTTCATTTACGGGCATCAGAGTCCTCTAACTTAAGCTCTTTTGTTTTATTCCACTAATAAATGAAGGCCTTCCTATGCTGTCCGGTCATTGGGATTTATTGACCATACTTCACCACCGCTGATCAGTGCATGTTGGTCAAGGGGCAGAGATAGTTCAGATGTCACCCGCTACTTACGTCTGATGTTTGACGTTGCCGAGAATTAAGCTCGGAACGACGGGGTTCATAGTGCAACACACTTACCAGTGCGCCACTGGTCCACCCACGCTGTTCATTATGTAGTGGTTCATTCGTAATGCATTCAGTGATTTGCATGTGGTTTGATTCGCAACATATTCCGCCACGGACGCGTATACTGTCACTGCTTTGTAAAGCGTCATAACCAACACTGGCACAATGCAAACATGACATCGCACGTCTGGAAGCTGCAGGCTTTGAAGTTGATGCTTGTCCATGTGGTGAGTGAGTCCCACATATATGAGCTTTTACCTCCTCTGCTGTCAGAGCCTCAACCACGTTGTGGTACATTTGTATAATACTAATTGCTGTACATAATGACTCCAGTGCGTAATTGAACGGATGTGTACGTCTACCAATAGTTAATGCATACTTCGCGTTGTCAATGTATTGCTTTTGTTATGACGTACTTGGTTGTGCTGTGTACTTGTATACGTGTATTCAGTTGATACCTCTGGCAGCGTAATAAATACTGCCACGACTGGCGTACGCCAGAAGCCTCAAACTAATAAAACAGCCAATTCATCACGCGGGATGCGGTGTACGCAACCGAGTTGATAGCCATGCAAAGGCTTTAAGAGTGAAATGGGTCCAGGCAATGCATCCAAGTTACGCTCGGGGTAGTAACCGTGGTTATTTATAAAGGAGTCTGCTTTATGAACTCATTTGGAGCTACATTATGGTAATGCGAAAACATATAGCATATGATAGTTATTCGATAGATGCCCGTGATTTACGTGCAGGCAACGTAAGAGATAGGCAAGTGAATATTGAAACCCTTTTAAAGGCATTGGAAACTCCTATTCCAGCTATTCTGATCTATAAACTCGTCTCAGCAATGTGACAATGCACATTATGGGCACGCCGGTGTAAGTCGGGTAGCATCTGCAGATAATTGATTTGCACTCTCTTTCTTACTTAAGAAATCCCTGCTTTCATTAATCGACAATGATTACGTTTAGATGTATACCATATTTTTTCTTCAAATGTGTCGAGGAGCGGTTGTGATCAGCCATTGTGGACTGTCTGTGTACACGTTGTGTTTGTGACAGTCTGTGTACACGTTGTGTTTGTGACAGTCTATGTACATGTGTTTGTGACAGTCTGTGTACACGTTGTGTTTGTGACAGTCTGTGTACACGTTGTGTTTGTGACAATCTGTGTACAGGTTGTGTTTGTGAAGACCGACCGCTCTAATTTTAGTTGCCCTGGTTTCATCTTTGGTATAGTTTTCTGCTGTTCTTACAAGCCTAAATATTCTCTGTTTTTACGTTGAACATTTTTGCAATAATGAATGCATTAATATTCCTAGCAATTTTTGTGCATTATATTTACACGTATTTTGTATATCAGCGCAATGCAATTTTATCTCGTTTAAATAATTGTCACGCAGTAGGTATTTTCAAGAGAGTCAATGCAACGATAATTAATGTGCATTTCTTTGCGCGGATAATTTTGAGCATTATAAGCGGGGCTGTGAAGCCTGTGCCCTTTGACACGTTCTTGGGAATTATGCAACACGGTCTCCACCTTTCAGTTTGCAGCAGATGGCATGCCTTGGCATTGCTCTAAATATATGAATGGGTGGCTATGGGAATTAAACTGTCAACTAAGTACAAAATGGCTCATTGAAAAGGTTGTTGGCCACTCCTATCCAACCGCATTGCACAGTTGCACGTTCCCATATAGACATACTGTAACTATTTAATGGGCATGCTATTTCAAACTTTACATACAATATATTGAACCTGCACATTCCTTTGGCCAGCATCATGTGCGGCCAAAGCAGTTAATGCCTCCTCATGCGATTTGTAAAGAATTGTAGGAGGGACAAGGCTGAATATGTCAAAAAACAGGCCGACTCTTTCAAATGAAAGTCAGTCTTGCCGTGCGCTAATGAGCAATGGCCAGTCCACATCTTCATTGATGGTCTGAAGCGCGTGATGGATATTCCACATTCCTACGGCAGGAACAGCTGCTGACTTTCCACTCAGCGGTGCTGACAAAGTGGTACCTATTTACATATTCTGAAGGGATGATATCTTGAGCTGATTCTGATTGGGTTTTTTTTTTTTATCTCGTAACATTGGGATATAGAGCCCAGCAGTGCTCCACCAAATAACCTGTCAGTCATTGTCACTTGGAACAATCAACACTTCTACTGCATGTGCATTTAGTTTAATTATATTTCAAATTGTTTAGATAAGCAAGTTATAATTATCAAACGGCACCGTCTGCAAATTCAAATGTCACTGGGCAGTCGTTGGCCCTGATCAACCATCGTTAATCCTGCGACAGGGGCCATATACACAAAGTGATTCTGCAATGCTATCTATACAGTTCCACATAACCCTTCAGGAGTGTAGTACCTTACATATTTTCATACACAACTACAAACCGGGTGTTGAATTCACGAAATTAGGCAGCCTGATATATACTGCAAAGTATTTTAAACTATAAATTATGTTTATTTTACCAGGTAAACCCCACTGAGCTTTATAGCTCTTAATCAGGAACGACCTGGCCTCGAACGATAGCCCAACAAAAGTGGCTTATCGCATTGACATTCATAGCAGTCAAATACTCCAAACGCATGTTTCTAAATGTGGAGGGAAAAACCGGAGAAAAAAATCTATGCAACTTCATGGAGAGACAACATGCACACTCCAAATATACAGGCATCAGGGTCGGGAACGAACTCACGGCACCCTGTACACGGGGCGAGGGAGATAACATCTCGCCACCGCACCGAAAGCGTTTTGGCCGTTAATTGGTATACGGCATTTTAAGCCGAGCCGTGGCTGTGGTGGGAGAGCTGGAGATGAGAATCGCTGGGATACGCGGCGGTCACGTTGCAATTTACTGCGCTACGCGGTGGGACGTTGCTGAGGCCTGTTGCAGCGGTGAGGAGCCACACAGTTCTTGACCTTCACTCGCACACCGGGGCATTAGGGGGGCACTCATTACCGATATTAAAATATAACCACACACAGCTCGCCGCTCGCCTATGTGCAACATTAGCTAATTGTGTTGGAGGGCATTTTGTATTGTGGTGTTTTATCATTGAGAAAGGCGTTTAATATTTCAGCGAAAAACATAACAGAATATGAAGCGGGGGTCATGCTCTGTGAGCGCTGTCATAATTTCCGTTTAGTGGCCCCAGGTTTCTCACCTTTGCAACACAATGCACGATTGTGAGCTGGACTTCATGAAAAATGTTAATGGCTGTAATGATATAATGTGCATTCAAATCAAGGTGGCTTCCTGCTAATCCAACTGCAACGAGTAAGCAGTCATTTCCTGTTTATAGCCCTCAGCGAGGAAGTGGAAATGCTGCATTCGAATGGTGGAGATGAGTTTATCAAAGGACGACCAACCGCTGACTTCCCGCACGTTAGCGCTCATTTTACCTTCCGACTCTTCACCACGTGGTCTTGCCACCGTGACAAACATCTGCAGAAATGGATGTTATTTTCGTGAAATTTGCAATTCACTATAGGCGTTCTAAATAAAGCATCATCGTAATTCAACATTTTGATTGAACAATTACTACAGTTAACAGGGTGTTTATGACGACCGTGTTGCGGTTTTATGTTGTGTGTGCTTTTGATTTTCGCACCACTGCCAACGCAGCATCACCAAATAATTAGTAGTGGTGGCGATTCAAAATAGATTCAAATGTATTTTTATTTACAAGGTAAAGGCCGACGGAGCTATGTAGCTCTTTTTCAGAAGCGACCAGACCACAAATGTGGATTCTCACGTAGAAATGTATAGCGACCAAAAAACTAAATTTACGTGTCTAATCATAACCATGCGCATGTCAGTCAACACATGCTATTTCACAATATCGTGTGAGACATCGCCTCGCCATGCTGTCAAAACAATTGTTAGTGCTCTTTTATTGGCGGTCCCGAAGCCAGCAATGGAAACTCCACGTTGCTATGGCAGGGATAAGTCTTAATATATGTTGACTTACCCCTACGCGGTGCTCCCACTCATTGACTTGACCCCAGAGAGATGATGAGTTCAGGCGGTTCCGGCTAGGAATGAAACGTATGCATTACGAATGGAATAACTCTGCTCTGTAAGTCTAGGCATCACGAGGCATGTTTTTTTTCCATCAAGGAAAATTAACGGGGTTGGTTTTATCCATTGGACTAAACTGTTCACACAATACTAGGTTTAAACTGTTTGTTTTCCGAAAAAGTTGCATGGAAATGCTACGAATAGGCTGGTGTCTATTTATTGTTGAATATTTAATTCTAAACAACTGCACCAAACCGGTTTATTAGACAATGTCTTCGGAGCGACATGCATTGGAAATAAAACTTCAAATGATTAACTTGTTTTTTTATATAAAAATTGATTCCTAAAAACAAGACCACATTACAAACACACCTCAGTGGAATTTGTATGCACTTCATAAATTGTGAATATTATGGCCTTGTTAATGTAAAAAACGACGTGTACCATTTTGGTTACGCAATTTTTCGTTTAAACACCAAACAGTCTATAACTTCATTCCAT